CCCCCCCCCGCTCAATTTTTTTTTCCAATTTTCAAAAAATTCGTCAAAAAAATTTTTTTTCAAAAAATTGAAAAACGACAACAAATTAAAGTCCAACCGAGTTATCGCAAGTGCCGCTCTCGCCCCAACAATCGCCTCTCGATAATCGACTCCAATCAGTTGGTAAACATGGCTGCCGCCGTGAGCGCCCTCCCGGACGTGTAACCATTGTCAAAAATAATGAAACCGTGCAGTTGTGAGAGTGCTCTCCCCCAAAGAAGCGTGCTAGTGCCTCTGATATCCCTGAGAAGTGATAAACCTCGACCGAAGTGAGCCCCGACCCCCCGACAAAGGCCTCCGACCCCTCCCCAGTCATCAAGCCCCCCCGATAATTACCAAAATCGCCCCCCCGCTCGACAAAACCCGACTGATCCACAATTCCAAAGCACCTATAATGGTGTGTGAGCGTACAGTGTGCCTCGCTTCGTGTTCTGACAATGAGCCGCCACGGTGACTGTGATAAGTGAACCTCTCCACCGTATTCCCTCACGCCTCGATTAACAAACGCGCAGTGGCAGTGGAGAAAGATAGACAAAAAGAGTGTAGAAAAACGATAGGAGAGTAGCAGTTGAAATAAATCCATCAGTGAAACAATAAAATCATCATCGATGACTCCATAGTCCATCAATTCCGTGGATAAATCGTTCAGTGATAGTGGGCATCATCGTACCAGTGATTATTATCATTAAATTCGGTTTTTATCATAATTATGTTCAATGTACCGCCCAAGTTCTACGAGCTGTGTCGCCTTTGTTTATCGTCGGACGGTGTCAAATTGTCGATATTCGAGGAGGAAGGGGCACAGCGCAATTTCGCCGACAAAATTCTCACTTGTCTATCGATAACGGTGAGTTTTTATTTTCAATTTTCGGAAAGCGATTCGAGTGAGGCGGATCGCGACGGGGATTTTTATCACTTCGGGTGGATTAAGAGTCATTCGGAAATAGACGCAACATCTGGGGGGTCTCGAACTCTAGAGCATTCCTCTCGATTTTGCCTCTTCACTTCTTTTCTCTACAAAATTATCCTCAAAATTCTCTTGCTTCACTGCCTACATCATCTGCGTCAGATTTTTTCCCCCATCGTTGTTCTGTTTTTTTCTCTTTCTGCTCTGCTCTACTCTCTTCTGCTGAATTTTCTATCGATTCCTGCAGATAAATCCCTCTCTCTCGCCCTTCGTCTCCTCTCGCTCGTTCGCAATGGGGAGAGAAAGTTTGGCAGAGGAGAGATGTGGCCACGAGATAAGCCAGCGAGCACACGGGCGATTTAAAATGGCAGTGATAAGCCTTTCCCCCTCCTCCTGAGCCATTCCCCCCACGATTCAAGACGGTTAGAACCTGTGGGCTTCGACGGCTCGTTCGCTTTTTACTGGTTGTGTTTATGATGTTTTTTTTTATCTGAGTTTTGGTTCCCTCTTATTTTTTTTTTTTCACCGTACGTTCGAGTTTTATTTCCCTTTCCTTTCTGTCCTCCACGCTACGATCTCTTTTCGCGGCACCCGCTACGGGGAACATACATATATAACGCCCGTTACGAGGGATCGAGGCTCCTTATTTGGACCGCCCTCTTATCAGGTTTCACACGCCTGCAGACAGAACTGTACGCACTCTTGTCACTGAATCACGGCGTCGAGTTTCCCCTAAAGTGATTTTTTTTTT